GGTTGGGTTCTGTGAGCTTTTACAAATGCATCCAGGATGATGGATCATCACAGTCGTGACATGAAACACTTCGGCCCCTCCCCAAATACCCCACGTGCCCCTTTGTTGTTATACGTGTCCAAATTCCAGCCTTCAGGAATCACTGATTTTGTGTATCAGTAGTGTGCTCATTTTCATTGCTCACTTTGTTTTGATGTACCACCATTTTAAATCCATTTTCTGTTTGGTCATACTTGGGACAGTTTCAGTCTGACGGATTATAAGTAGAGTCACTACAACCACTTGTATAAAGGGTTTGGTGCACATAACTTTTTTTTTGGCGGGGGGAGTGGAGAGGATTTTGCTATAGGGTGCGTGCGCTCGCCAGAAAGAGAGAGAGGCAGAAAGTGAGAGATCACCCCCCAGGAGGGATGGCCACGCCACAATCCCTTCTCCAGTCTCCTCTCAGGATCTTGGGCACACACATACACACACCCGGCATGAGTTTAAGCCACCGGATCTAGGACTCTAACCATGTTCAACTACATGGGAGTCCAGTGACATAGCCATTACACTAACTGCTGGTCCTTGTGGACATAACCTTTCATTTTACTTGGGTAAATACCTAGCTTGGGATTGCTAGACCATGTGGTAAATGTTAAGAATAGAATGTGTGTCTCACCAAAATTCATATTTTGAAACTCTAATCTTTGGCTGGATTTGGAGATGGAACCCCTAAAGAAGTAATTAAGGTTAAGTGAAATCATAAGGGTGGGACCTGATCCAATAGAATTAGTGTCCTTATAAGAAGAGACCAGAGCTTTCTCTCTCTCTCTCTCTCTGTCTCTCGCTCTCACTCTCCCCAGTGCTGGTACTGAGGGAAGGTCACATGAGGACATAGAACGCAGTGGCCATCCAAGCCAGAAGGAAAGTTCTTATTAGAACCTTGATTGTGGACTTCTAGCCTCCATCATAACCGAGAAACATTTGCCCAATCCAAGATCACAAAAATCACTATGTTTTCTTGTAGAATTTATAACTTCCAGGGTTCTTCCCCCCTTTTCCCCTTCTTTCCTTCCTTCCTTTATTTCTTCCTTCCTTCCTTTTTTTTTTTTTTTTGAGAGGTTTTTGCTATAGGGCACATGTGCTCGCCAGAAAGTCAGAGAGAGACAGAGAGACAGAAAACGATAAGTCATCCCCCAGGGGGATGGCCACGCCACAATCCCTTCTCCATTTTCCTGTCAAGATCTTGGGCACGCACGCACATGAGCCTGGCGTGAGTTTAAGCCACCGGGTCTGGGACTCAAACCACTATCAACTACATGGGAGTCCAACGACATAGCCATTACACCAACTGTTGGTGTTGGTCCTCTTCATTTCTTTCTTTCTCTTTTTTTTTTTTTTTTTAATGTTTGCTATTGGATGTGTGCACTCTCCAGAGAATAACAAAGAGCGAGAGAGAAGGAAAGTGAGAAAGCACCCTTCAAGGGAGATGGCCATGCCACAATTCCTTCTCCACACCTCTCTTGGGATTTTAGGCATGCACGTACACTTATCTGGTGTGTTTTTTTGAGCCACTGGCTCCGGGACTCAAACTACTGTCAACCATGTGGGATCCAGCTGCCTTAACTACCATGCCACAAGCAGGCCCCTGTAATTTAGCTTTATATTTATATTTATGAGTTAATTGTGTAACTTGTATGAAGGAAAGATCTGTTTAATGTTTTAAAAATGTGATTAATTTTAATTATTTTTATTTTTTAAGAGGTTTTTACCTTACTGTATGTGTTCTAACTGGAGAGAGAGAGACAGAGACAGTGAGGGGGGAAAGTGAGAAATCACCACCCAGAGGCGATGGCCATGCCACAATCTCCTCTTCATTCTCCTCCTGGGACACTGGGCACATGCGCCGGTGTGTTTCAAGCCGCTAGGTCTGGAACTCGAACAGCGTCGGTCACATGGGACTCCAGCGACAGAACCACTACGATGTAACCACTGGCCCCGCTGATTTTAATTATTGCATTACTATTTCCTGAAAGATTTTTTTCCCCATTAAATCACGTTGTAACCTTTGTCTACAAACAAATCACTATATATGGGTTGATATATTTTCATTCATCTTTGTGTCTGAACAGTTGTTAGCTATATTGTAAGTCTGTAAACCAAGTACTGCAAATCCTTCAACTTTGGTTTTTCTCAAAATTGTTTTGCTTTTTTAGTCCATTTGCCTTTCCATGTAAATTTTAGGGTTAGCTTGTTAATTTCTTTCTTTCTTTTTCTTAAAAATAATTATTTAACTTTTTTTATTTAAATTTGACCAGAGAGGAACAGAGTGACAGAGAAAAGGGAGGGGGGTGGAGTGAGAAAGGAAGCCACCAGGTCCAGGGCTCAAACCGTGGTCAGCCATGTGGGAGTTCAGTGCCCTCAACCACCACGCCACCTGCCAGCCCCAGCTTGTTAACTTCTAAAAAAATCCTTCAAGTATTTTGATTTGGCATGTGACAAATCCATTTATCATTTTGAGAATAGTTTATTTCTTGTCAATATTGAGTCTCCCAAAACAGGAACACTGTATTCCTCTTCGTTTATTTAGGTCCTCTTGATCTCACTATAATCTTTTGTAGTTTTTGGCATGAACATTTTGTACATATTTTGTTAGACCTCATGATTTTTCATATTATTTTAAATGGTTATTTAAAAATGATTGATTTCCAATTGTTCATTGCTAGACTATAGAGAGATATGATTGATTTTTGAGTGCTGGATTTATATTCTGTGACCTTGCTAACCTGAGTGCTAGGAAATTTTGGGGATTTGTTTGTTTGTTTGTGGGTGTATATTTATGTATAGATAGATAGCTTTTGCTATAGGGCATATGGGCTTGCCCTATTCGTATATTCCTTGGGATTTTATTCTTAGGGAGTTATGTCATCTATAAATAGGGCTAGCTTTATTTTTTTCGTTTTCAATCTGCGTGCTTCTTCCCCTTTTCTTATTGCACTGAATAGGACTTCTAGTGCCATGTCGAAGAGGAATGATGAGGGTGAACAACCTTGCCTTGTTTCAGTCTTGCAGGAGGAAGTATTTAGTCTTTACCCTTACACATGATGTTAGCAATAGATTTTTCATAAAAGTCTTTTATTAGTTTTAAGAACTTCCCTTGTATTTGAAATTTACTGAGAACTTTAAAAGTAACTGATGTTGGAACCAGCAGATGGCAGCATGCTTATGTTGCTGGACTCCCACATGGCTGACCATGGTTTAAGTCCCAGACTTGGTGGCTTGAAAATCACCAGATGTGTGGGACCAGCAGTTAGCGTAATGGCTATGTCGCTGGACTCCCATGTAGTCGACCATGGTTCGTGTCCCGGACCCGGTGACTTAAAACTCACGCTGGGCACGTGTGCGTGCGTGCCCAAGATCCCGAGAGGAGAATGGAGGAGAAGGGATTGCAGCGTGGCCATCCCCCCGGGGGGTGATTTCTCGCTTTCTATCTCTCTGTCTCTCTCTGTCTGTCTGGTGAGCGCACGCACCCTATAGCAAAAACCTCTCCAAAGGAAAAAAAGCAAATCACACCAGATGTGTGTGCATGCATGCCCAGATCTTGGGAGAAGAATGGAGGAGGAAGGGTTGTGGTGTGCCTATCCCCCGGAAGGTGATTTCTTTTTTTTGGAGAGGTTTTTTTGCTATAGGGCACGTGTGCTCGCCAGACAGACAGAGAGAGACAGAGAGAGAGAAAGCGAGAAATCACTCCCCAGAGGGATGGCCATGTCGCAATCCCTTCTCCTCCATTCTCCTCTCGGGATCTTGGGCACGCACGCACATGCACCCAGCGTGAGTTTTAAGCCACCAGGTCTGGGACGTGAACCGTGGTCGACTATGTGGAAGTCCAGCGACATAGCCATTACGCTAACTGCTGGTTCCCTCCCCAGAAGGTGATTTCTTACTTTCTCTCTCACTGTCTCTCTTGTCTCTCTCTCTCTCTCTCTCTATCGCAAGCACATGTGCCCTAAGGCAGAAACCTTTGGAAAAAAAAAAAGTAATTGATGTTTACTTTTTCAAATCCTTTTTTGCCTCAATTAATATGTTTTTTTTCTTAGTCTGTATATATAATGATGACATTGATTGGTTTGTCATGTCTTTTCTTGTAATACATTTGTCAGGGCAAAGCTTATCAGTGACTGCCTGGGGCTTGACGTGGAGGAGAATTGGACTACAGGGAGGAAGCATGGGGAGACGGGGTGCTCAAGCTGCTCTGTATTCTGATAATGATGGGGCTTACCTGGATCTATTCTGTTATAGGTTTTAAAACTCACCCAGCTGTACACACTCCCCCAAAAGTCAGTTTTGCCATATGCAAACTTTAGAAGGTAATAAAAATAACGGCAGTAAGAAAAAAAAGAAAATGACTGGATACCTCTTAGGAAATGATGAGGACCACTCTAGTCCGGCAATTAATCCTCACAGGGGTTAATTGACAAGTTCCCCTCTCAATGTCTTACTCTCTCATGGGGATATTTGTAGTATCCCCTCATGAGGCTGTGTGAGAATTAAGCAAATAAAAATGGAAATAGTCCTTACTGAAATACTGAAATATTAATAAGCATCAGGTCTTATTTTATTTGATATTATTCACGATCAGGTAATTGGGGGACAACAGATAAAACGTTAGCTGGCATATGCAGCTCACAGTCGGCATGTGCAGTTCCCAGATCATGGTGGCAGCTGATATATTACCAGACCAAGTTTTTATTTAAAAATGTATACAAATGTCACTCTGGATTGATCATTTAATTTACTTGAGCCTCAGTCTGGTTTTCGTCTGTATAATTAGAGTCACAGAACTAGGCTTATATAAATGATGAATTAATGGTTTAAAATATGGCTGCTCATCAGCCTTGTATTTAAAAATGTGATCATGAATATGTATCACTAATAGTCATGAGTGAGTTTTGTGTCTGTTTCAGCCTCAGTTTCTCTGTTCTCAGTTCTCTCAGTCCTAAAATATTCTGATTCTAGAATCATGGTAAAACTAGTCTCTGAATAATTAATTTCCGTATGGCTCCCTTCATGTCCCGATTCCTCAGGCTGTAGATGAAGGGATTGACCAGGGGTGTCACCACTGTGAAGATGACAGTGGCCACTGTGTCCTGCATTGAGTAGGAGGATGAGGGGCGCATGTAGACCCCCAGGATTGCCCCATAGAACAGGGAGACCACAGTGAGGTGGGATCCACACGTGGACAGGGCTTTCCTGATCCCCCGGGCAGATGGCAATCTCAGCACGTCAGAGAAGATGTAAGCATATGACACAGCGATGCATGTGAACGGTGTCAGAAATATCAGCCCGCCCACAGTGAAGACCACCAGGTCATTGACAGAGGTGTCAGAACAGGAGAGCTTTAGGACAGGGTACGGGTCGCAGAAGAAGTGGCGCACCACGTTGCTGGAACAAAATGTGAGTCGGACCATGAGAAGGGTGTGGAGGAGAGCGTGCAGGTTCGTGATGACCCAAGACACAGCCACCAGCAGGACGCAGAGCTTGGGCCTCATGATCATGGAGTAGTGCAGCGGGCGGCAGACGGCCACATGGCGATCATAGGCCATCACACTCAGGAGGAAGCCGTCCATGTTGATGAACGTGATGAAGAAGTAGATCTGGGCCATGCACCCCGCGTAGGAGATGGACTTGCTTTCCAGTACGTGATTCGCCAGCATTTTGGGGACTGTGACTGATGAAAAGCAGATGTCCACACAGGAGAGGTTGGCCAGGAAGAAGTACATGGGCGTGTGGAGATGCCTGTCACAGCTGATGGCCAAGACGATGAGACTGTTCCCGGTGATGGTGACCAGGTACATCCACAAGAACAGTCCGAAGAGGACGTCTTCCTGCTCTGACTGCCCAGAGAGGCCCAGAAGAAAGAATTCTGTAACTCATATATATATATATATATTTTAGAGAGTTTTTTTGCTATAGGGCATGTGCACTCGCTGGAGAGACAGAGACAGAGAGACAGCAAATGAGAAATCACTCTTGAGGGGGGGAATGGCTACACCACAATCCCTTCTCTTCTTGGGATTTTGGGCATGCATGTACATGCATATGGTGTGAGTTTTAAGCCACTGGGTCTGGGCCTGGAACAACACCCAACTATGTGGGAATCCAGTGACATAACCATTATGCCATGTGCTGATCCCATGAGATTGATAATTGCTTTCTGAGAGAGTGATTTTTGCTATAGGGCATGTGTGCTCATCATAGGGGAGAGAGAGAGCAAGTGAGAAATCACCCCGTAGAGAAATCGTTACACAGCAATCCCTTCTCCTCCATTCTCCTCTTAAGATTTTGAGCATGCATGCACACGGGCCTGGCCTGAATTTTAAGCTTCCAGGCCTAGGACTCAATCCGCAGTCAACTATTGGGAGTCTAGCAATGTAACCATTATGCCACCTACTGGTCCCAAGGTTGATACTTTTAATGGCACCAGATTCAAGGATTATTTCTAATTAATATAATATCAAATATAAATTATTTAAGACTGATGATACTAGCTCACCACTTAAACAATATCTTTTTTTTTTTCCAAGAGGTTTTTGCCTTAGTGTGCCTGTGCTCACCGGAGAGACAGAGACAGTGAGAGGGAAAGTGAGAAATCACCCCCCAGGGGGGATGGCCATGCTATAATCCCTTCTCCATTTTTCTCTTGAATCTTGGGTATACATGCACACACGCCCTGCATGATTTTGAAGCCACCAGGTCCAGGACTCGAACCGTGGCTGGCCATGTGCAAGTCCAGCGATGTAACTGCTATGCCATGTGCTGGTCCCATTTAAGCGACATCTTTATGGACAGTTTTTGGCATTGTCTGGGAATTAACTCACATTAGGCAATCCTATGGAGACAGTAAATAGCAGGTGAAGGTCCGTAATGTTTCATTATCTTTGCCTACGTGCAGCCTAATTTGTGTTGCAGTGGTATTTACTGTGTGTAGACTTGTATGTATAGACTGTGTTTACACATACTTTTTAAAAAAGAATTCTTTATTATTACTACGTTTTAATTTGCTATAGGGCACATGTGCTCACTAAAGAGAGAGAGAGAGAGAGGGGGAAAGTGAGAACACAAGCTGTCAGATATGGGACGTGAACTGTGGTCAGCCATGTGGGAGTCCAGCGCTCTAACCACCACACCATCTGCTGGCCCCCACACATTGTTTTTTGATCCTGTGAATGATGAATTGCATAAAGAAGGAAACTGAGAAGAAGAATCAGAAATGAGAAACTGAGAGGATTAGATGCTTCTCCGACTGAAAGACCCCTTAGTATCCACGGCACGAGAGCGAGCAGAAAGCTGTCCTGCGCATGCCTGCCTGGCTTGCTCTTAGGCCGTGGTTAGCTGCCGTCTGTGGAGCAGCTGGCTGGCAGGCGGGTGCTCCCGCTCCACAGGCATCTGCTCTTCGGGTTCCTGTTCAAATCTGCCGGTGAGAATGAGGAGCTTCGGTCAGCAGAAGGGAAGACTGAAAGCAAGGGCATTAGGAGTTTGCTCAAGGTCGCACATTCTTCTGTCTGCAGCTCAGCGAATCCACTCTAGGTCTCTGACATTTCCCAGGACTTCATTATTTTCAGGCTTTGAAGCCTCCACCTGGTGGTTTGTCCTTAAACCTGCTAACTGCCTATCATGGAAAGAGCTTTGTGGGCTCAGCAAGCCTCAGGGAGAGGTTGCTTTGTGAAGGATTCAGCTAAGAGATGTCTTTTCTTCCTTTTGCTAATTAAAAAAAAATCATTGTGGTGTTGTATTATTTTTAGAAAGGAAAGAAGAGATTCATAAGAGCCGAATTATGGGGTATATCCAAACAATAACCTCCGTATTAAGAAATCGAAACATGACCCAGGCTTGGAGCTCAGGTGGTGATGTGCTGATCGGCAGGGCTGGAGGTACATGTAGGTGGCAGATTCAGATCCCAAGTCAGCTGGAAACATGGCGGGGGCACATGCTCCCAGGACCTTGGCGGGCTGAGGAGGGCTGGGGGAACGGGACTGCATGGGATGAGATCCGCTGAGGGGTCCTCTCTGTCTCTTTTTAGTGCTCTCTTCTGTACTTTCTATCATGAAATAAATGAAAGAAAGGAAGATCACGTATAAACACAGGCAGGAAGAGTTAGTGAAGCGCGGCTACGATAGCCCTGGATGAATTCACTGGTCGAACAGCAGAGAAGAAGAGGTGGCATTTCTGGTAAGAGCAAAGTCCTGGGGTAAGGAGAAGGAGGAAGAGGAGGGGACTGGCAGGTTACAAGCCTGACTGTACAAATGGGGGTGTCATAGGCAATACTTTCAGGAGACGCTGCAGGGTGTACCTCACGTGGAACAGGGAAGCATTCCAGCCATGTGAGAGTGAAGTTATTAAACCCAGTGCAAAAGTGGTGAGATCCGAAGTCCTTTCTCTGTAAGGGATGAAAGAGTGACCAGCCAGTACCAGACCCCAGCCGGGCCTGTTAGAGGAGAGGCTCAGGGAGAGGATGGATGGGGAGTGCAGGAGTCGGGGCAGCCTCGGCGAGGAGAATCCACAGCGATGTTTGCACACATTCTTCATCGCGTCCCTCTGTCGCTATGCGTGCTGTCCCCATAAGGTGAGGGTGGTGAAAGGGGCGGAAGTACAGCACTTGGTTGCGGGTTTCCTGTTGTCTGTGACGGGGGCATGAGTGTAAAAGCGTACATAAGCTGGCAGCAAATACCCCAAACTGTACGCTGAAAGAACTAGCTGCAGTACATTAGCTGCTTCCTGTTGTTGCGGGGATGATCCTGCTGGGACCGGGCACCACCGCCCCCTCGTTCCCCAGGTCCGTGGGTAAGAGGACCGATACAAGAGGGCAGTGATTCTGAAGGCATCTGCGCCTTCTCATCGCACCCTCTAGGAGAGGCCAGAGGGCTTCCTGGTCCTCAGAGCTGAGGGAGGAGATGCCTGCGGCACCCTCCCACTGGGGACACCAGGCTGTGGCCGTGTCACTTGGAAGGCGTCTGCTGTCGGGGCCTGTTGATCAGACCTGGCCTTCTGTGAGCAGAGAAGAGTGCCGTGGAGGGATGGCGGAGAGGCCACCTGAGTGCTTGCTGTTGGCCAGTGCAAGGCATGTGAGGGCCGTGCGGGCCCCGGGGCACCTAACTGGGACACTTTGCAATCCCAAGGGAGACATGCCGGGAAAGGGGATGCCATTGGTCTGACATTACGCTCTGGAGGGGAGCTGTGGTGGGACTTGGAGGGTGGGCAGGGGCAGATCTTCACCACTGAGCCCCTCACAGAGAGGTGGCCCTGGAGGACCTTCCGGGAGGACCCGTAGAGGCAAGCTCACAGGGAACGCTTTCGTACTCCTGCCCAGGCGGACAGTGATGGCCAGAGTGCTGCAAACCCCAGCAGAGGAGGGCAGCTGCCACACTGGCCGAGGAGCTGGGACCTCCTGCAGTCTCTCCGTATTGCTTTCTCCCACCCAGGAGTATCCTAGGAGGCGGCAGGGAGGAGGTGCCTGAGACTGGCCCACAGCTCCCCTCACCCAGGCTCCCAGCCATGGGCACTGTCAGGGAGGGGGGCAGCAGAACCTGAGGCTCTGGGACGCCTGGCTGCTGACAGAGAGCGCCATTTATTATTTACAGTGGCTGAAAATGAGCCACTCTGCCACAATATTTTTATGAGAGCTGCCGACAGAAGATCAGCCATTAGGAAAAAAAATCATTTCACGGTATAAACCCCAACTCATTGGGACTCCCCAGTGAGCAGGCCATACCCTAAAGTCTTCTCTGTGTACTCACGAGCAGCTCCTCACAGGGAGGAGGTGCTCTGCCCAGGTCCCTCGGCAATGCCGCCGGCGGTGTAACTTCAGCATGGCGATGCTGGGTACCGTCTGTGCTCTCGTGAGTCCCGCTAGTGTGGCCCTGTGTCTGAATCCCCTGTCATCTGCAGCCTTGAGCAGTTGTGTTCCTGGACTTCAAAATTAAGGCTGCTTAAGTCCTTGGGGCCCAGCCCAAGTGGATGCTCTCTGTGGTCTCTGCAAAACATCTAACGAGCCTCCCTCGAGGTGTTTTTATTGCTCCGTCCTAGACCGCCGTGGAATATACAGGGAATGACAGGCAAAAGGCGAGGTTGGAGACAGGACAGGGGATCTTGGATATCTGACAGAAAAGTCTGTTTGGGGCAGGGAGGGCGGCTCGGGGCTCTTAGCTTCTGGCTAAGCTTTCTGGGAGCCTGGCACTGCTGACTCTGGCTGGCTCCTTCCACTGCGTACTTTTCCGTTTCTGTTTTGGAGACCCGCTCCCTCTGCTCTGCAGTGCACACTGCAGCCTGAGAGGGAAGGTTTGAACTCGGCAAGCCAACAGCTGTTTCTTTCCTGCTCCGAATCCGGTTGGATGAGGAAGGAGGTCGTGGGTCGGTTCTTCCATTTGTCGATCCATGTGTCTGTGTCTGATCCTTGCCAATCGTCTGCTGTCAGAGGTGACCGTGCCTCCCCTGCTCCCTGGCCGTCCTTACCTGGCTGTTCTGTGCTGCTGCCAGGTGCTCTCACGGAATCCCCATCTCTGACCCTGGCTGGTGTGAAAGTCGCGGCTGGGGCCGAGGAGCGAGAGAGCTTTCTCACTGAGGAGAGGATGTGGGGTGGGACGCTGTGGGTCTTCTGGGTCGGGCTGGGCAATTGGCCAGCTCGGACCGTGGCTGGTGTGAAAGTCGCGGCTGGGGCCGAGGAGCGAGAGAGCTTTCTCACTGAGGAGAGGATGTGGGGTGGGACGCTGTGGGTCTTCTGGGTCGGGCTGGGCAATTGGGAGCAAGCAGATGCCTCCTTCCTGGAGAGGAGGACTTCCATGGGGATCAGGCAGCAGTGGTTCGGGTGTCCCTGCGGCCAATCCCCAGGCTCCTCATTACAACTACTCCGCTCACTGTCCTCTGTTCCCATGCTCTGGACACCGATGGGGTGAGAGGAGCTCGAGGCCAGAGCTGTTTGAACTTGGGCAGTCAACTCAGGTTTTCTGCATTTGTTTCTCCATTCAGGAGACGAGGGGAGGCTAAGGAAGTACCGAGTCCGTAATTTCCAAGGCTCTAATATCCCACGAATCTATGGTTCTGTAATATAGCTAGCATTTCATTGTTACCGATATGTACTTACACAATTAATTCATTCCTGTAGAACTATTTATTTACAAAAGTTTCTTCTTCAACAAAGAGCACCTCATGGTTACACCCTTAGCTCCTTGTTTAGAGGTTTATGGTAGATTGGCAACGCCTGTTCTTGCTCTGCTGGTGCGCTGTTCCGTAACCTGCTTGCCATCTTGACACGCATTTTTATATCATTAATCATTTTTTCCTGAACGCCTTTCTCTTTCCTACCTCCCAAACCCCTCCTGCATCAGTTTCTCACATTTGCTGTTCTCACTACTTCTTAGCCATAAAGCCTTTCGGATTCTGCATGGAGTGTGGACATGCGGTGTATGTTTACTGGAGACATACTGTATTTGTCTTTCCTCACCTGGCTTATTTCATTTAGCATTGTATCTCTTAGGTTCAGGCCTTTTTGTCTCATGACAGGATCTCATTGTTCTTGATGGCTGAGCATTTCCATTGTATATAAGCCACCTTTCTTAATCTACTCACTAGTTATTGGGGAGTTAGGTTGATTCCATGTTTAGCTATTGTGAATAATGCTACAATAAATATGGATGTGCAAATGCCTCTCCAACAGAGTGATTTCTTATCCTTTGGGTAAATACCCAAGAGTGGGATTACTGGATCATAAGGCAGTTCTGTTTTTAGATATTTGGAAAACCTCCATACTGTATAGGCTACAAAAGTTTCTTCTTGAACAGAGATCTGAGAAAGACACAATAACTTGGTCAGGTATTCTGAGCCTCAGGACACTTTATCATGTCAGAACATTGCTGAGGTAGCCTTTTAACATCACTGAGGTCAGAGTGTCTGGGAAGATCGAACTGTAGTTTGATAGAGTCTGTTGGAAGTTGGGCTAGCTGGGGAAGGGACCAGGGACAGGGGCAGGCAGACTCCTGGATATCCTGCAAGCCCAGAGCTGTCAAGGTTTTGAAGTAGGTCAGTACATCTCTTTGGTATGAAATCAGGTCTTCTGAGGAAATTCAGGTTTTCTGGGGATCTGTGGTCCTTGAGGGTTCAGACAGACTTGAATGGACCTGTCACAGAGTAGAATGTCAGAGGGCGCTTGTGTATGCAGAGTCTGGGGGCCTGGAGGAGCAGAGTCTGCTTGGCAGGAGTGAGGGATTCAGGAAGTCTGGATGTTCTGGCAGTTGAGGGGTTATCATGTACCGTGTCTAAGAGTGTCTTGTAGGGAATGGTTTTCCTCAAAAAGCAAAATCTCTTCAGGGTTAGACTCATCACCTATAGATTCAAGGGGTCCTGATGGGTAAAAGCTTAGATTAGAGGAACTGGAGGTTTGAGGTGGGCAGGGAGGCATGGTGCTCCTGAGCATCTAAGTTTCATCTGGTCAGGAACTCCTCAAAGGGTCTGAGCTTCCAAGAATCACCAGGTTCTTGTGGTCTGGGTGCCATACAGGGCCATGGAGTCATTGTGAGCTCGAAGTATCAAGTTGTCTATAAAGTACTGAGGTCAACGCTTCTTGGAGGGTACCTGTGTCCTAAAGAGTGAGAGTATCCTTTCTGCCTTAGAGACCAAGGATCTGACAGGACCAGCCTAACTCTAGGGTTGGGGTCTCTGGGCGCACCATTCATGTCACATTCCTAATACAAATGAAGATGGCCGTCCACAGCACTGTCCCTGTGAGTCACTGTGAACGCTTGTGGTGTTCCAGGTACAGTCCCAAGTGCTTCTCTTTCATGAACGCTCACTTCGTACACCTCTGGGAGGGAGGCACAGTCGGTCCTCCTTTTTCGTGGATTCTGTATCTGCAGGTTTGCCTCCCTGCCAAAATGTACTTGTAACCGGCCAGACCAACACCCCGACACGTTCGTGAGTCCTGCAGCCACGCACACAAGCAGAGCAGTCGCGTCCCCATGGTGCCAGCTGAGGCCAGACAAGGCACCGTTCTGGCTTCTGGTTTCCCTCTCGTAAGTCCTTTCCAGTGCCTATTTAATGCATGTTTTAAACATTTGTTGTGCTTTTTATTGGTGGTCTTGCAGTCACAGTGGCCCCAAGCATGGTGCTGAAATGCCGTCCAGTGTTCTAAGTGTAAGAAGGCTACGGCGTGTCCTGGGGAAAACACATGCTAGATAAGCTTTGTGCAGGTGTGAGTTCCAGGACCGTCAGCCGTGACCCCGGTGTGAAGACAGAAACACACACAGTCCAGGTCATGCCCTGCTTAGTGACAGAAATGTCTCGAGCAGAGACTTGCCCCTAGGAGCAATGTTTCATAGTCACCATTCCGTGTTCCTGGTGATTTTTTTTTTTTTTGAGAGATTTTCACTCTAGGGCGTGTGCGCTCGCCAGACAGACAGAGAGAGACATAGAGACAGAAAGCGAGAAATCACCCCCCAGGGGGGATGGTCACGCCGCAATCCCTTCTCCTCCATTTTCCTCTCGGGATCTTGGGCAAGCATGCACACGCGCCCGGCGTGAGTTTTAAGCCACCGGGTCCGGGACACGAACCGCGATCGAATACGTGGGAGTCCAGCGACATAGCCATTACGCCAACTGCCGGTTCCCCATGTTCGTGGTGATTTTAAGGAACGTAACTAATTCAAAGGGAACTGATTCTGTTATTATGGCCAGCTGATAGAACTAAGACAGTAACGAGCCCACATCACACAACAGTACAGCCGGCACTGGAGTGCGTGGCAGTTTGGCTCCAGGACCTGTTTTTAGCCTAGGGTAAGAAGATTCTAGCTATCAGGTTTCCTTGAAGGTCAAGGTTGAAATCGCTGGTACCCAAAATGATCAAATGCTTCTAGAAATCTGTCTCTTGGAATTTCGGTATTCTGCGATGTCAAGTCAAACCTGTCCCCTCAGTGTTCTGGGAGAACGAGAGTGGAGGGCAGTTTCTGTGTAGTGTCAGAGCGTCCTGGAGCAATCCGGCTTCCTGCATGGATGGGCAGAGCTCTCTTTCAGGGTTAAGGTATCTCCAGGAAGCAGGAGGTTTGCCATTCGTGTTTTCTTGTGGATCCAAGTAGGTCGCATGTGACTGGCCTTACCAGGTCATGGAGTTCAGAGTGCTCTAGGAGGTCACCATGTGTCCTGGGAGATAGGCCGATCTTAGAGCAGAGCTTCTCAGCCTTGCCACTTCAAGGACTGCGCATTCCCATGTGTCGAAGCCCTATGCCCCCAAAGCGGTGCTATTTGGAGGTGGGACCTTCGGGATGCACTTAGGTTTGATGAGACCACGTGTCCTTGTGAGGGAGCAGGGCTGGTTCTCCCCCCACAGTGTGAAGACACGGCGAGAAGGCGGCTGTCTGCAAGCCAGGAGGAGAGCCCTTACCAGGGCACTGAGCGGCCCAGCCTCCACAACTGTGGGAGGTAAAGGCCTATTGCATCTCCCCAGAGTGTGGGCACTTCCGATGGCAGTCCAAGCTGACTGAGATGAGTGTACATCCGGGTCCCCGGGGAATCTGCTTAGGAAACAGTTTCTGATTCAGTAGCTCAGAGGCCTCAGATGTTTCTTTCTTTCTTTCTTTTCTTTTTTTTTTTTAAGAATTATTTATTTATTTATTTCCATTTTTTTTTCTTTATTTGACAAGAGAGACAGAGAGTGAGAGAGAGGGAGAGAAAGGGAAAGTTAGGAAGCAAGCCACCAGGTCCAGGACTTGAACCATGGTTGGCCATGTGGGAATCCAGTGCCCTTATCCAGCACACCACCTGCTGGCCCCGAGGCCTGAGATGTTTCTGACAAGCGCCTGTGTCCCACCTCTGCTGCTGCAGCTCCACAGGCCGCACTTAAAGCATCAGGATCCTGGAGGGTTATGCTTCCTACCTGAGTTGTCAGGGTGTGTGACCTCAGGGGGACTGTCCTGTAGGCACAGAGCCTCCCAAGGGGTTAGTGTGTCCTGGGAGGTCAGGATTGGTGGGGAGGAGGAGACTCCCCCGGTGGAGGTGGAGGGTTCTGGGTATTGGAGAGCCCCTGGGGTCCTGGGGTGTCAAGGCATCCTGTGGGTGTCAGATGATTTCTTCAGCCTGAGTAACCCTGAGAGACGGAGAGCTGTGGGTGTCGGGTGGTTCTGATTCCTCAGGGATCCTTGAAGAGCTGGGACGTCCACACTCTGGAGCCTCAGCTTACTGCAGTGACCCTGAGGGCCTGGATCTGGGCGTCTTGGAGTCAGGGCTTTGTGGAGGCCAGGTGGGTGGAAGGTCATGCTGTCCAGGGGCTCTGGGTGACTGAGATGACATCTGGAGGAGGAAATGGGAGTGTTCTGGAGAAAGATGGTGTCCTAGAGGCTCTCCCTGTGACTGCGGCTGCCCAGAGGGGGGCTGGTGCATACTGGGACGTCGGGGTGTCTGGGAGGGGCCAGCACTCCTGACTTCTTGCCTTTGTTTCCTGGAAACAGGTCGTTGGGTATCACCCAAGCCGAGAGGTGGGCAGGCCGGGGCTCTGCTCTTGGCCCCCCCACGTCCCCCATCTGCCTGCTCCACCCCCCTGGGGTCCTGAAGAGGGGTCTTAGGAGGAATGCATTCCCCCTCCTTCCCCTGCCTGCTCCCAGGAGGGGATTTAACGGGACAAAAGAATCGGGTCCTCTGGGAACACGAGCTCTTGGCCTCAGTCCCCGGACCCTCCAACAGAACCTTCCCGCATCCGGCTTGTGACCCTCCCCTGAGCAGGGGCCCTGGTGACCAGGTGATGATTGGACGCCCACTGGGGCGAGCGGGTCACTCCCCCAAGACGCAGGGAGAGAGAGGTGGTGTGGGGAGCAGGCTGATAGAACAGCGTCCTGGTGGGAGAAAGGGCAGGGGGAGCAGGAGAGACAGAGACAGCCAAGGTCCAGACAGAAGGAGGTGACACTGAGGGAAGGGGCGCGGAGTCAGGACCACTTAGAGAGGTGAGAGGCAGTGGAAGTGACAGAGACATCTACCAGGCAATGACATTCTGAGCCAGGAACTCAGAGGAAGGTACCAAGGAGGCTGGACAGGTAGCCTAGCGGCCAGGAGGGGAACTGCGGGCCAGGGAAGGCCGTCCTGGCATCCGGTGGTGGGCAGGAGGCCCGCCATCAGAGCTATTTGTCACTGGTCATGGATGTGGCAGGGGGGGGGCGGGGGGGGGGGGAGAGGG